TTTCCATTTCCATATTCCCACATTTTTCTTTAACTCATTGTCTCAGTAGTCACATTCATGCAACGTTTCAGCTTTCTATGTTCGCCAGTTTAGCTGATGGAAAAAATTATTTGGAAACATCTGCCTTTGAAGTTTGTGCCCACGGGGCATTTGCTTCCAAAGTCTGAATTTGTTTGCACGCAGCATCCCAATAAGTAGTTATATGCCGAGTTTCATTTTTTCACACCAGCTCAATACGCCAGGGCATAAAAAATAGTCAAATTTAAACTTTCTAGCTCCCTCTGTTTTGCTGGATCAGAAATTCGAGAAAATACGCCCTTTGCTATATGTGTGCCGGCTTTTGCGTGCGTCGGCTTTTTGCAAACATTTTTTTTTTCACCAGCGAAAAGGGTAAACGTATAATGTTGAAACTTTGTGGTCATGTTTTTCTCTGAGGGTTGATTTCGGTAAAAATAATTAATGGTTCTTTTAGGTTAAAGAAGCCTGAGGGCACATATACTGCAAAATGCGTATTTTTTCGACTCAACAAAACAGAGGGCGCTAGAAAGTTTAAACTTGCCAAAGAAGAACCTGATGGATAGCTGAGTAAAGAAAAAATTCTAATTAGAATATATACAGAGGATCGTAAGTAGCTGACGCACCCTGTATATACGTATAAGGGTGCATCAGCTATTTGAGAACAAAATTTGACTTTGAGGAAAACGAAAATATTCAGTAGAAAAACCAATATATTTTCATAGAATTTGGTACACATGTTCTTACACATAGCAAAAGGCTATTCAATAAAACCGCCTTCAACCTCGATTACGGCCTCGATGCGGCTTCTGAAACGACTACATGCGTTGATCAGGTGATCCTTATTCATGTTTGCCATAATGTCCCCGATGGTAGCCTTCAATGAGTCCTTGGTATTATGGGCATGCTTCTTCGTCTCCCTCTCAACGACGCCCCAGACGTAGTAGTTCAGGGGCTTTAAATCAGGAGAGCTAGGAGACCAAATGTTAGGTGTAACATGATCGTGAAAATTTTCGGCCAGCCACTCCTGGGTGGTGCTGGCTGTGTGAGAGGGAGCAGAGTCTTGCTATAACACGTACGGCCTCCCCCGAGCCGAGACGCTGTGAAGCCCTGGATTGAGGGAGTCTATATATATTCGAGAAAAGTAGAATTATTTATTTACTCAGTTATCCATTAGGTACTTATATATATAGATATATATATCAGGTTGTAAAGGTGAAATTTAGACATTTTCCAGATAACAATTTATTGACAAGTAACTCAACAACAACTAGAGTGCAGTCTTGCGTCAATGTATCTGTTGTAGGTTCACGATAAGCACTCACGCCCACAATGCCCACTGGTCACTCTACTTATACACCTACATAGAAAGTTCTAACATTTTCCCGATTTTTTTATAAAAAATCGAAATGTCTAAATTTTACCTTTACAACCTGAAGGCATGAAATATTGCATTGTACAAAAATTTCCTACCCTTTTTGCTTGAGTATGAAGTTATTCATTTTTAAACAAACACATTTACCAACGATGTTGGGAGAAACAATGGTCACATAATCGTGGTCAATTTTTAGCCGTATGTATGGAGCAAGCCAATATTAATATTATGTGGTGATGCTAAATTCGACAATATGATTTTTACATCTTCCTCTGATGTCATGATCAAATTGCGTTGCATATGAAAAATGCTTCATGATGTTTTTTTAAAATCTAATATACCAGGGTGGCCCAAAAAATTGTACTCTTTTCAACGTGCATTTTAGGTGTTATGCTTTGAAGGATATTTTTGGCAGTTACCGATAATGGAAAGAAGAAAGTCTTAGCTACAAAATGCTTTTTTTTTATTACTTGGAACTGAATTGAATGAAACGCAGCAAAACCTCTATTTTAGGCACACAAAAAATGAATCGTTTTTCTTTTATTTTTTTCCTTTTTCTTCTTTTTTGTGGTTGAGAATAAAGATAGACTGAGAAAGAAAAAGACTAGTTTCGCCGAATATTATTTGCTATGGTAATAAGGCTTTGCTAGTCGAACAAGAGAGACACTCCTGGCAAACAGGATGTTCGGAGTTGATCGTTTAGCATAGGGATAGCCATGATAGGTTAAGGTGGGGTTACTGGTCGCGGCCTGGCGCTATTCGGTCACACCAGATTTTCTATGGTAATGAAACTCATATAAAGACTGAGATAGACTTCTTCGAACTGTTTACATATCTTTTTAACATTCGGTGAAACTGAAGTTGTTTTCTTTCCATGTCTACCATGGTTCGCTACTACAAAAGAATGAACCCTCTTCCTCCTGAGGGAAAAAATCTGACCTAGAGGCTGCAGTGGCCTATTATTTGCAAAAGCACCAGAAACCGTCAATCAAAAGTGTGGCGGAGATGTACGAAGTCAGAAGGACCACTCTCCCCACTTGGATCGCCAGATACAAGCAAGGCAAAACCACACAGCCTAAGGGACACCCAACAATTCTAACCAAACAAGAGGAAGAGTACCTCATCAAGGCAGTCCAGTACGCTGCAGACCTCGATGCAGACCGGGATGGGCGCTCTACAGCGAGATCATTGTACGGATCGTATCCACCCACATAAAGTCGTTGGACAAGCCAAATCCATTCAAGGATGGAGTTCCAGGGATTGACTGGATGCGCGGGTTTAGGAGGCGGTGGAAGGACGTCCTCACCATGCGCAGAACAGAGTACGTCACCATCGCAAGAGCCAGGGGGCTTACTCAAGACTGTGTCGACGGATTCTTCGACTTCCTTCCTTGAAGCCAAGCTGAAGGTGACGATGAAGCTCTGAAAATCGTTCACTGAGACTCTCGAGCTTTTGCAGCAAATGTACCTACGTACAGCAGGTACTTGCTGCAGATATCTGTGCGTACATCTTTTGCAAAAGCTCGAGAGTCTCAGTGAACGATTTTCAGAGCTTCATCTTTGCCCTTTGCTCCAGCGCTGGCATTCCAGTAAAATCCGCCGAAAGTTACTGACCATGGCAATTACTTTTTATCACCAAAAGAGTTCCTTTTTAAACGAAAGACCACTGACATTTTTACCACTAATCGCAAATTGAACATAGTTGACGCCTGCAGAGTGGCCAACAATTTCGACGAGTGTTATTTGAGCTGCAGCGAAAGTTCCGTTCCTTTTTTATCAGTCTAGTATATTAGCCGCTGTTTGAAACATAGTAGTTACTTGAAATTTATTGACTCTGCATAGCTTTTAATTAGTTTTCCTATGTCCCAAAAGCTGTTTCTGTTGGCATCACTCCCACTGCCAGAAAACTAGCATGCAGATTTTGGCATTTTTTAAAGTTTTTTAAAATTAAAAATTCAATATATAACCAATTTTTGATACACACATCATATCCTGCACAAAACACATTTCATATTCTGATTCTACATTATCTCAGATTTAATTTGAGTCCAAGAACGCCCTTCTAGCTTAAATATAACCACAGATAACAGTTTGATTCCTAAGGTCACTTTCTCTCACTGGTGTGAAATTTGAAAAATCCTCGAGAACTGTTACAGCCAGGGTGCCCGAATTTGACGGATGAACTATATAATATATAGTCCATGTATATATCTATCTCCATAATATAACATACAGGGTGTTTCAGGTCGACCTTAGAAATGTGGAAAGTAGCGGAATTTGTAGTTTTCATTTGGTATATGAAGTTTGTCATAGTAATACCGTAACTGATATGAAGTGATTTTTATTGAAGGGAACGAAAATGGCCGATAGAGGAAGTGGATCGTTTCGATTGTCTAAGCAGCAAAGAAAAAAACTGGTGAACCCCCCCGCCCCCCCAAATGGGATGAATTCACACACTCTCAAAAGGGCACACTAGTGCTACTGGTGTTTCGGCTTTACGGACATTTAACATATACCAGTTAACGTCATGCGTACGACCGGAAGAAACTTTACCTCCAAAGGCGTCGGTAGGCCCATAGAAAACAAGGCATGCATTAAAGCAGGGGTCGGGAACCTTTTCGGCCATGTGAGCCATATTAAGATTGTGGTAAGTGCTTGTGAACGAAAGATTTTCAGAACAACCGAATTTATCCTGAAGTTAGCAACAGTGCAATGTGCATCCTTTGATACAGTAGAAAAATGAGAAACAACCATGATTTTTAGCCATGTCTCAATGAGTCAAACTTTTTGGCTCATGAGCCATAGGTTCCCGACCCCTGCATTAAAGGGTGTGTGAACTCATCGCGAAAGGACTGTATAAGAGAAAGCGATCGGGAAAGGAGATGGAGATGTGCTGCAGTGTAGTAGTGTAGTCTCAGAGCAAAGGACACCTGGCTAGATATGAAACGATCAAGCAGTTTTTCCACTGTTGGCCTCCACCTCAAAGCCGGTTTTGATGATACAGGGTGTCCCAAAAGTCACTGTACACCTGGTGCATACATCATTGGGCATTAGGTGAACAGTGCCTAGCAAACAATTTGAAGCACATAACGTTGAATCAACATTGAATGAATGTTCTGAACATTGATACAACGTTGGTCCAACGTAGCCTTGTGTGCTAGATGACTTTTTGACCACCCTGTACAACACATGAGCTTCCACAGTTTCCCCCTATGCTGACAGTCTAGCTGATGTCGAGCATACTCAACGAAGCTCCCTATCTAAAATAGCCCTATCCCTCTAAAGATAAATGTTCTTGATGGGCGTGCGAAAATCTACTGCCAAGCCATGTGGAACTTTATTGCTTCCATTTTTTTCTCTAGACATACAGAAGTACAAGGATGTCCTATTGACCTTCTAAGGTCTTTCAGTTTGGCATCACTTGGTCAGCTTGGTCAGAGAATGAGGTTTAACATGGTAAGGAGTCTGATTTTCACACGTTTGAAGATTTAATCAGGACTGTGAAGAGTACTATTACTAGATTCACACCAAAAATGCGAGTGGCTGCCATCTTCTCAACGAGAACTTCTTTGCGATTTCTGAATCAACGTGCGGCAACACTGAACCCATCATCAAGATGTCTTCCTCCGCTGCTGAATGCTCGCTCCGTGGCTCGGTTATTGGTACTGTACCTACGGTTGGTTCAAATCGTTTCTACCGTTGGATTCCGGCTGGAGATGACTTAGCTCTGGAGTAGGCATATTTATTGGCCTATTCATGATATCAACGTGAAACTGCTGTCGTGAGCCAGCTGGTGAATTCCTTCCGGCATACGCAGGACGCTGCTTCGGGAGTGAGTTCGGCCTTGACTAGCATAGGACTACTCTGCTTTATTAACGTAGTCATACAATGAAATTTGAATTGGCTTCGCACGTTTTTTTTATTCACCTCCGTTTAGTTTCAATGTTCAAGGGTAGCTAACGTCAATTGCACGGTAGTCGCCATGTATCCCAAAGTCGCATCAACACTTAACGACTCTGTCGACCTCCCATTGGGGGCTTAGAGGCCGCCAAACTCACGATGCACGGCATACTTGTATTCTTACTGTTTTGAAGGTGAAACCATCCCACCTTGTTGAGTTCACTCCTTAGGCTAATCGGAATGAGGTTCGCATGTCACACCAGCATGCCTCATGCTTGGCCAGTACGAGGTAGTAAGACCTGCACTAGGAACCAATATGAATGGCGAATACGAAGCTTCCCCACTCAGAAGTCGCCATCCATGGACATAAGAGAAAAAGCATCCGCTCCTTGCATGTGTATGCACGCAGAATGGCAACTGATTCATGCATGTCACATTTGAAGCCAAAGTGTCTTAGGCCATGATTGCAAGAAAGCTCCATTGCCATAATATGGAGATAATGATTGAACTAGCTATCTGGTGGCAACTACCATGTTGATGACATCAGGTAAATTTTACCAGTTTTGTCGCTTTGCTGGCCTGACCATCTGGTATTGGTACTGTATGCGTACTTCATCCTTTTTGTCGTTAGGTGAAAAAAGGGAGATGAGTAAGAAAAGAATGGGAATGAGATATAGGGATTTGGAACCTGAAGGGAGATTGAAATGAGCTGAGTATTTCAGGTATTGACTCTATCCAGGGTAAACCCTTGGGTGATGGTAAACTCTTTCACTGTGGCTGTTGCGTTTTTGTACCATCGTGCTTCATTCCTGCATTGCAGGGAAGCGAAGACTCAGAAATTTAAATGCCACAGCGAAAGAGTTAACCTCATTCCACTCCAGAAAGGCATGTATCCCCTAATGATAAGTCCCCCCCCCACTCAATTATCTACAAATGGAAACTTATATTCCACTGAAGTACACCATGTCCCACAAGTCTCAGTTGCTTGAAGTGCATGCCCCCTTGAAGGAAGCATGTGCCCCTTGACAAATGTAAATATATAAATCTGTTTCACATAGGGTTGCTACCTGTTCATAATTAGTATGGGCAGTACATATTTCAGATGTAATGTCCATACTGCAAACTGGTCCTAATATGGACACTGTCCATGTTTTAAACTTAATATATTTATTTATTTATTAAAGCTTAATAGCAGCTATTATCACTATTTACCATACGACAAAAGCAGTAGGCCACACTCAAAGCATTGATTGGCACCTTGACTGAAGGTGGCTGTGGGTATGTTTAGAATATTTGTCCATATTTTGTCAAATTCAAAGGTGGCAACCCCAGTTTCAAAATCCACTCTCCCAGGTGGCCACCCTCCGCCTTGCATGGATGCAACATATGCATTCTCTATTCCCCCCTTCTCTCATTTCTGATTTGACCATGGCTGTGCAATGGATGGAAGTAATGCATGAGTTTGAACATTTTTATTTCAAAAAGAATGCAAAAATATGGCATGAAACCAAAGCAAAAGCAAAAATTTCCCATAAAATAAATTTGATGCACTAATTTGACTAGATTTTAAAGTAATTCCTCCTGTCATAGTCTCAGCTTATGTTCTCACATACCCATCCTGTAAATACTTACCTTAAGGTGTTCCTGAATTTCATCATTACCATACCTACATGATGCAAAAATCATAATTTCAGGAACATAGGAAACATTGTGATTCTCATTAAATTATAAGGGATAGTGTATATGATAGTGTCATCTGATTTGTGACTTGAGTAATGCCATCAGCTGCCATTGATATGCAGGTAGCTGGAGACAAGAGCTGAGAGGGATTATTTCATGGTACTTTTTCTACAAGTCAACTCCACTTATTGAAATACCACTTCTTGAAATACTACGCAAGTAGAGCCAATTTTTTAATAATACGATGTATTATGAAGAACACCACGTGAGTGAATAAAACTTTTCTCACAGTAAAAAAAAAAAAAAAATTTAATAACTTTGAAAAACAACGTTGTGCTTGTATTCTTTCTGCCAAAGTGCTGAACAAAGTACTGCACAGCATTATTATAGGTTAATGGAGCACTCTGAATAATCATAATGGGTCCCAGGAGTTTCCCAATAAGCAGGTTTGATGGTATTATGAAACCCCTTCCTTTCAGTCTGTGAGATTAGGTTCCTTTACTCTTGTCATTTCATACAAAACCTGCAAGCAATGACCAGTGTACATTATGATCCCAGCTCCATCCTTAGCCAATCATAGACATTGTTCAGGGCCTAAGTGACATTTTTTAGAACCTTATAAATGTTAACTGTATGTATTCTTGGCAATAGCAGGGCCATGACTGCTTCTACTAGGGACTAGGAGCTTTCGCAAGGGAGTACACAATTAACTATTACCATTCACATGCCTAGCTTTTTTAGTACACCACCTCTGTAGGACTCTGCCCCGTTAGAAAGCCTTATTGTAGGGCTTTCTAACTGTTCAAGGCTCCTCAGTTGATGTGAATGACAAAGCAAATAGATAAAAAAAAAGGCAAGCTTGCACAATGTTCTTCATGGACATCTGAGGCATAATTCATCAGACTGCCAGCTCTTGATCTCAAAAATAGAGATCAAGCAGTATGGCTATGAAGAGAATGGTAGCTGTGTAACCAGATTCAGTGAAGACATGGTTACTGGCAAAATAATATTTATAAGACATAACACAATTGTTGGTAGAATCATCCACACAAGTAGGGAAGGAGGTTTAGGAACATCAATAAACAAAGTAATCAATAGGAATTGACACCAATATCAGGGATGTACTTGAGTAATTTATGCTTTCATTCAGTGGATTGGTTATGGGTCTGTAGGAAATAACAGACTTATTCCATGTTGCTGGCAGAATTGAGAGGAATTTACAGTATATTTCTTTTTAAATACTTTCCAGAGTGGATAATTCTTGGAGCATATTTTAGAGTTGAGTGCAAAAGTAATTAAATGCTTGTTAACCTTTCTTACACTTACATGAGGAAGGATTGGAAGACATTTGGTATTATGTAACCTTATTGCTGACAGTTAAAAAAGGAGGGGCCACTGTTTCACTATCTGTAAGTTCTCCTGACAAAGATACATGACTACTTTCAAATGGTTCAACTTAGGTTGTGAGCCTGGACATTATGTAAGTTGTTCTAAATGCCCACTTCTGTGCCAAAAGAATTCTAAGCAGCTTTTTGCCTAGAAGCAAACCCTTACTCAACCATGTCAAATCTAATATGTTACTCAAGGAGTGCACAATAAACACTAAGCAAATCAAGTGATTACATGTATGATGAAAGTTGCAGAGACACCTACTGTCGTGTTCTCAAACATGAGTTGTATGATCATTAATTATGAGCTGGGAGTTATTGTATGCCAAGGAATTTTGAAGAAATTGACTATTTAGCTAATCCAGTTTGCTTGGAATAGTTGCTGGACATAGATAGGCAATCACATATGCCGTAAGATACCGGCCATTTTCATTGAATCATATGGAAATATGGCTGCTGCATTATGTAGATTTGTTCTGCTTCAACCCTGAGTACTTCTCTTGAAGGTGCAGAATGTAAGCCTAACAAGATTTTGAATCTACTCAGATGTCTTCATCTTGGTAGAAATCTATAAAAATAAGCATATTCTGAAAAACTGCCTCATGTAGCCATGGGTGCTCATGAGCAAATAGCCAGGTGCAGGATGAAACACTCCTTATTATATGGCAAAATTAAAAAGAATTTATGCAGAAAAAGTATATGTTTATATATTAAAGGTGTCTATATAAAACATTTAACTAGCTTTCCACTACTGTCAAAAAATCTAAGATCCCTTCCATCATTCTGATGCAGTTGCACAGAGAAAAATATGTAGCATTTGATAGTGCACTTACCAGTACCCTGCTATATGTGCTCCAGGTGGCTGTTCCTTCGCTTCCACATTCATAATCTTATTGAGGCATTGTTCATATCTCCACTACCACCTCTTATACTCTTTATCCAACTGCATGGAAGTTATGCCACAAATATATATTCTGTTGACATCATTGGAAAGCTGATTGTTCTGTACTGAGGCGCTATTGCAATTTTAGCAAGCTCTTGGGGACCAGTATGTGGAGTAATACAGATAATTGAAGTATTTTTTGGCCCACCCTGTATTTCCATTTCAGTCTTTCACAACCTGGAGAGTATGTTACCTGCATTGCCAGAGTCTTCAAATGGTTTGCAAGAACACCTTGTTAGCTGTACAGTAGTCATGTTCTATTTCTTTGCTGAATTTCTTCCATGCCTCATTTTGCCTCAGATATGGCTCGAGCACAAGTTTCTTGGCCCTCTCTGTTACACACCTAGGAAGAGTCTGACCTACTGGACATATATGAGGGGCAGTCAATAAGTTCCAGGAACACCTTTGTAAATGTGAGATCCCTTACCTGAGGGAAATTTTAGCAATAGCATTTGATAGCCCATTCTTTAATGTGCACTTGGTACTAATTAGGAATTTTTTAAATAGGTCTTTCTCATAGATATGACTTCTGGGAGTGACCCATGTAAAAAACCACTGGGAGGACTGGCAATTTTCTGACCTTAAGAGTCGTGCATACATCAAGTATTGTCTATTCGACTTCAAAAGACACACTGCAGCTTCGATGTGACAGGTCAAGGGGGAGACTCAGTCATTAACACATTGACTGCCACGAGGCGCACTGGTGCGCCTCATTGAATGGGAAAATCAATATGCCAGCGTTGATGTGGTGTTCAACCTGTTAAATATCACTTATGCTCTTCACCTGAGACATGGTGAATGGAGAGATTTTCCTTGAAAATCAGAGTTGCTGGCTTTCTTTCATAAAATTGGGTGAAGTGGGATCCCAATGGATCTCTCTCAGCTGACTGAAAGGTGCTGTCCTTTATCTGACAACACTGAAGCATCATAAACCTTTAGCCTCCTAATGACCTACCAGAGGCCAAATATGCACATATCTCTTTGTCTTCTTGCCTCTCACCATCCATAGAATATCTATAGAATATTTTGTCCTCAAATAAGTGTGTATTTTGCTGCTAAATTAATTATACAATTGCTGCTGAACTGGATATTCATAAAGACCTAATGAAAATCACTGTCACCCATGACTTTTATTAGGTCTTCATGAAGTTCCTTGACTGCACAGTTTAGCAGTGATCGTACTTTGATGCATGCACAACTCTCAAGGTCAGAAAATTGCAAGTTCAATGGTACATGGGTCGCTCCCAGAGGTCATATCTACAAGAAAGATCTGTTTAAAAAATTCCTAACTAGTACCAAATGTGCATAAAAGAATGGGATTTCAAATGCTATAACTAACATTTTCCTTGGGTAAAGGATCTCAAAGTTACAAAGGTTTTTCTGGAACTTATTGACTGCCCCTCGCATGCCCTGTAGGCCATCTTCTTGATGTAGTGTCCACTTGTTGTTACCAGGTGTCACTCTGATTTACTCCTCACCATACCCTTTCACTGCTGCAGCCAAAACCCCAGATGAAAATAGATCACCTCATGTTTGATATTATGAAACATGGACTCAAATAACTATGATAAGCATATGGGACATTTAAAAAGTGATTGTGTGTCTGTTTGAATGAGAGTCATCATCATCCCTTGCATTTTCCTTTTTTCTCCAAATGTTTATTTTGTGGCTCTTGTTCTTCACTTGCAAGGGAGAAGATGATTTCAAATGCTCTTTTATCACCTTTATCATATTCAGCCATGCACTAAAGATGTTGCCCTTTTTTTTATCTCCTCACCATCTGTTGATGCAGTAGCAACTTTACTTTCTATATTCACTCTCTCCCTATGTCCCAGTTTGTGGTGTTATAAAATTCAATCAGTGGTCTTTTTCTTGCTTCTAATAGGATGGAGGATTTGGAGTTTGAGTTCTTGGACCTCTCTGGCCTCCATGAAAATGAATTGCGCTCACTGAGAAATCTTCTGTCTCCTAGTAACTCATACACTCCAAAAGACTTGGAAATAGAACACCATCTTGGGAATTCTTATGGACTTGAATTCTTTCATACCCACAGTGACCCCTCTTCTCCCCTCTGTATTGAGGAACAAAGTCAGACTGATTCCAATGTCAGCATATTCCAGACTGGGAAGAGTGACCAGGAAGTTTTCTATCCCCATGCAAATTCAACTGCAAAGGATGAACCTCAGAGCAGTGAAGCACTTTCTCAACGCTGTCCAGTAGAGTTTGAAGTGAGGCATGCAGTGTCTAGACGTTATGAAGCACAGACAGTTTCAGAAGAACCAGTCGGAGAGGATGTTGTTACTGTAGATGGAGACCTGAATGCAAGTCACAGTGAGCCCCCAAAGACTTGGGCAAGCTTATTCAAGAATGGAGCTTCACAAGCATCTTCTGATGCATATTCTGTAAGTGTTCAAGATTTCAGTCATCTGAGTGAGACATTGCAACCTGAGAACAGAAGTAATGAGAGTTTAGTGAAAGTTTTAGCATCCCTTCACTTGGATGATCATTCAGTTTGGTATTTACCTCGGGGACTCATCAACCGTGGTAACTGGTGCTATGTGAACTCAGTGCTCCAGGCTTTAGTAGGTTGTGCCCCTTTTCACAATCTCTTTCGCTCCTTGCCATGGGAAGCCCATGCAGAAACTCAAGTGAAATCAGGTACACCAATGCTTGACTCCATGATCCAACTCCTTTATGAATTTGACCTGATGCCACGTCGTCGTTCAAGCAGAAGTTTGCCTCGTGTGGTGGACCCTGCCCCAACATTTGAGCCAAGTTGTGTTTACCGTGCCCTGTTGGATGTCCACCATGACATTTTCAATGTTGAAGGGCGACAGGAAGATGCTGAAGAATTCCTTAGTTGCCTGCTGAATAGCCTCCATGAAGAAATGTTGAGTATATTGAATGAGGGTGACTCCAAATCTCCTGGGCTTGCCCAGGGCCTCAATGGAAGTGAGGATTATGCAGATGAAAGTGATGATAAGGAATGGCAAGTTCAAGGTCCGCGAAAAAAGAGTTGCATAACTCGTGTCACAGAAACCTCTTCATCACTCATATCTCAGATTTTCCAGGGACAAATTCGTTCCACAGTCCATCGAACTGCAGAACAAACTACTGCAACTTTGCAGCCTTTCTTTACCCTTCAGCTTGATATTCAAGGCGACAGCATCGATAGTGTGCCTGGTGCCTTATCTTCACTTGTGGCCAGAGAAACCCTTGACCATGCAAATGAGAAGCAGATTGAGACAAAGGTCAGTCGCCAAATGGCATTTGAGAGTCTGCCACGGATCTTGATTCTGCATCTGAAGAGGTTTTTGTATGATAAAAATGGAGGTTGCCAAAAACTCACCAAAGAGGTGAAGTTCAGCATAGACTTGGAAATTGGGAGAGAATTGTTGTCTGTTAACATCAGGAATCGATTCCCTCAAAAGCAGCGACAATACAAGTTATTTGCTGTGGTCTGTCATGATGGAAAGGAAAGCTCCAAAGGTCACTATATCAGTGAGGTTTTCCACCCAGGTTACCAGGGATGGCTTCGGTATGATGACAGTTTAGTGCATGCGATATCAGAAAGTGAACTTCTTCATCACAAATCCCCCTGTGTTCCATATTTGTTGATGTATAGGAGGGTTGATACTATTGGCTTGAAGTGAATGCATTCTGCAAGCAAGTGATAAGGTTTGATTTTGTGTTGAGTTTCCTTGCTTGTTTTCGTGTAGTTGAAGGAGATTAATATTTTGAGGATTGTTGAGGAATGATATTTCGATGTACTTGCTCAACAAGCTTTGTGTATTGAGCATAGTCCTGTGATTTCCTATCCATCACTGATAACAGATGTTGGTATTTTGGAAATGAATTATATATGGAAAGGCCTTTGATGTGTTGATCGCAGGAACATATAAGTTGAAACCATAGTTTGTGTCAAGCAGATTGTGTTTAGATTGACATGTCACAAGAGCCCCAAGGCTCTTTCTCCAGTTTCGCATGGTTCATACCTTTAGAGGTGGTATTGGAAACAAAAATGAACCCGATTTTTGTGATATAAAATCTTTTGAAATTATTTGCATTTTGAAATTTTTTATATTTTCAACGTTTATTAATCATCAAACTTGTCAATCTATTTCAGAAAATTTTCTTAGATCCATGCATTTATATCTATTGCCAACGAAATACTTGTATCAGCATCTGCAGATTTCTGTGCAGATAATCCAAAACTATCCGATCTGCTGTCTACCAGGGCCTTGAGAAATCAATTCATTCATTCATACGAACCCTTTCTTGGGAGCATGAAGGCTGGAGGATAGATTCCAACTTGGTAGATACAACTCCAAGCAAGAAATCGAAATAAGTGAAGAGGGGAATTTTTTTTGTCTTTTTATTTTTGAAAAGTAAACTACAAGATGTATTTGCCTGGATGTCAGCGCGAGACTTGGGCCAATGTCTACAGAAATTCTGCTGCTTCACACCTCTCCCCATTTTCTCCAGAAGTCGCTAATGAACTCAGCTTCTGTTCAGGTTTGGGTGCACGTCATCTAATAAATAAATTAGAATGTGGAAGCTTTTAAAGAATCAAGTTTGAGTGGGTGGTGGTCTCTCGGCCTCAACCGCCAACAATCTCCCATCTTCTATTTTATTCTAATCAATCTTCTATTTTCCTCAATTTCTTAGTGCCATTCATTTTGGAAACATGGTCAACTCTTTTTTTATTAGGAAGAAACGCCCTAGAATTCAAACGTTGGAGCATTTTAGCGTGAGCCGGAATTTAATGGGGGCTCTCGTAAAGGTACAATCAAGAAACTTAGCTTATCCACTGCGATGTCCCTGGATCCTCTTCATTACACATTGACCCAACTTCCCATTTCATCCCCTGCGTTTGTCATTTCGCAGAACAGAACTTCATGATAGTGTAACTAATAAATGCATGCAGTGAAACTGTTCTCGATTAAATATCTTTATTGGCCTACATTGGATTTTCCAAAATTCCTTTAAATCTGTCAAGGCAGCGGAGAAGGTCTTTAACTCTTCCGGTTATTTATTTATTCAAAAAACACTCAGGAATGAAAAAAGTATCGAATACGAAATCAGAAAATAAAGATTGCCATTTGCTTCCTGTTTTTGTTTTCCAGGAGAACTTTCAATTAGTGAAATGACCGGTGCCATAGGAAAGTTTGCTTGCGCGTGCAAGCCACATTTAATAATGAACATTTGACTGATCCCAGAGAAAAATCTATCTGAATTCCTCCATGACGTACGAAACACCACAGCGTATGGATTTTCAGAACTTACGAGGTGAATGGTATTGGAATACTGCGCAGGAGGAATGTAGAATAACAAGCTTTGGTGAAACCACACCAAACCACCTTGTCCCGAAGGTGAAAAGGTAGTGTTCCGTTCCATAAAAAATGAACAACCCTGCTCCTTATCACGCAAAAGTGAAGATGGCAAATTCAAGATCAATTTAGAGCCATTGCATGGTGTTACAAATGAATTTGATTATTGATTATCAATTATCTATTACTCGAGGCAATATTATTTCTACGGAGCCCTTGTTAAAGGTGGTACGAATTCATTTGCAACATGATATATGTATGCAGGAACTTTTTTTTTTTAGGGGGAGTGGCCACCTTCAAGATTATAAATCCCCCACGAGATTTGTTGACATATCTAGTAGTGAAGGAGTTACGGAACCAATCACGTCTTTTGGCCTACCCTCATGGATGGTCTTAGAATTATGTGAATATTGTGTATGTGTTGCAATGGCAATGGGGCGTTGCAAAACCTTTTTCTAGGGGCTCCCAGAAAAAAATGAAAACAGCACAAATATAATCACTGCATCAAATTGAAAGTAACTCATTTCCCGTATCCAATTACATATTAAGAAAGGGTGTTGTAAAACCTGCTAGGGATCAGGAACTAAACTAATAATATATAATCAATTACTCGAGCCATCTCGTTCAACACAAGGTTTTGACAGACTTGGAGTACGAGGCAAATCTCTTCGAAAACCTCCGATCATACCCATCGCGTTTGCCGGCGAGTGGCGGGCACACAAACTATTAATGTCATTGGATCCAAAAATGAATTGCTTTCAATTTGTTGCAGTGATTTTATTTGTACTATTTTCAGCTTTTTCTGGGGCCCTCTAGCAAAAGGTTTTGCAACATGCTTTTTATTTCTGTAAAATTTCGAGTGAAGTCCCAGTTAACACTGAAATGAAGAATTTGGCTTATCGAACATTAAGGAGCTTTGGTGAAGGTAGAAACGGTGGACCATACGGCCGTATTGAATGGGTTCCGCAATAAGTTCAATAAAAATCCTTTCTCCAATAAGACCATACTGTGGTTTGATTTCAAGTGCAGGATCTCGTGTAGCGTTGTCAATGCAATGAAAGGACATTCTTGCAGACCTCATTCAGTCCGTGTGAAGGAAAACGCAGGAATTGTTTTGAACATTTGTAGTCGATCGATAACATTGTCCAACGGATGGAGCTGTGGGACGGTGAGTCCGTTCATTTAGGGTGACATGCACCAGATTCGTTTAACTTTAAACTGATTCGTCTTCATAATGGGCGTCTATGGGATAAGTTTATCTCTATTAAACTGATTCCATTGTGAAATCAGATTAATTTAGCTTAAACTGATTCGGCGCATGTCACCCTTAATGGCCTAGAAATATTTCAAGCAGTTATCATGTAAGCAGTAAGCATGTGTGAAACATAGGCTATTCATAAAACACGGAAGAGCTAAAAACCTTGAATAAACTGCGTGCTGTCTTCCTAAGAATTTCGGTTACCTTTTTTGGGGCCACCCTGTATTTCTAGCGTCTAAGAAACCATAATTGCTTCCATATGCCCTCGTCCTTGCCTTTTGATTGCGGCAAACTGAGTGAAAAACAGTATTTCCAGAATTGTTATCGCGTACCCTGCTGGCATATACGATAGAACTTTTAAATAATCTTTTACATAATTTCCAATAACTGCCATTTCCAATGAAGGGAATAAGGTTCTACGAGCATTAAACCGACAAATGGGTTCGGAAAATATTTTGCAGATAGACCACTTTTCCTTTCGGCCCTTCATGCAATAATACCGGGTGGCGGAAAAAATTGCGTCTTGTTTGACTTTTTTAACACTCGTGAAAATGCCAAGTTCGGTTTTTGTTTTAACCACAGAAAAAACAATAAAATTCCTTACCTTCACCCAAAAAGCGGAAACCTTTTTATGTTAACACTTTGACGACTAAATCCGAGTTTCCTCGGATAAACGTACTTGTTTAAATTTACCGCTGTGGCTTCGCTTCTGTTTCTCTGACGAAAAATTCTTGCGTCTTGCGTTCTTGCGTCTGTCGATATATGCATTCTCTGCCACTGTGTCTTTCGCACTGTGCACGTGGAAAATGGCTGGTCCAAGAGAGGCATGAGGTGGTGAAAGCCACGGTCGTGAATGTGTTAACGGTCCTAATGGAATCCGTGGACTTCTGTGGAAGAAAGAGAGCTCTTCATCTCCCCAATTGAAGTTTCAGCATTTGAGCCAAATTAAAGAACTCTTTCCTCCCACAGGAGTCCACGGATTTGCATAGAATTCTCTTTGATAAAAAGCAGAAATCATTCATAGTTTATTGGGGCTTCCAATCGATTAAAAAAATGCAATCTGTTAATCGTTAACCATTTAATCCATTGATTGAAATACTCGAATTTAATTGAGCCACTATTTCCCTCTCAGAATATAGCGAATGAAGAACAATATACCCTTCCGAGTGTGATTGGGCTGTGATTGCTTACCCGCTTAGCCAACCCCTTTACGTGCGCGGAATCAGGTAGACCCGGGTGGAAGTGGCTCTAAACGTAATGGGGACAAGCGTATTGGAAAACTACATAGCGTCTGCTTTCTACGAGTATCCAGACACCCTCTAAGATGAAAGATGTGTGTGTGTGGGGAGGGGGGGGGGGACTGGCTCTTTAGCCTTCGCATAACCCCTTCCTTTCGTCTTTTGACAAAGACTCGCTCCGATGGTTCGTGATGATCCTGTAACGGCATTTATTATTAGTTCCCCCCCCCCCCCCCACAGGCAAATGTTGAGAAATCTTATTTGAAGACTTCGTGGTGTGATCGTCTATCACCTGGAGAAGTTAGTCTCGCAACAACGCAGATCAGAGCGGAACGTATTTTTTTTTTCGTCTGGAATTATAACTCACTACTTTGAATGGGAACGCGTGCACTGAAGCGGACTCGAGGTTTTTCCTCGGGTCGGGGCATTTTTATTATAGACGTGGCGTACTACATGCAATTATCGATCCTCGCCGACTCGCGTATCGCTTGCGGACGCCGTTACACCTCTCGCTCGCACGAAGTCATTGCAAGGAAGTGGAGGAGAGTCAAATGTTCGATGAACGTCGCCTCGAAGTATCTCGACTCCAGGCGTCGGGACGAGACAGAGAGAGGAAAATAAACGATCTGGCAGAGAAGAAAAAGGCATGTTCTAGAGGGAAAAATATATAACCCCCCTCCCCCCTCCCTCCATTCCCTTCCTACATTGCTGCACGCTTGACGCGCCGCTTGGATGCCTGCTCAAAGTTGATAAGGATGCCCTTCTCCCCCCGCGCCCGTTCGAGTCTCACCGCCTTCCCGCGCTCGTCGCGTCCGTGCGGAAGAGCCGAGCCACCGCGACGGCATCCAGGCGCTCTTTTCCGCCTTCTTTGCTCTCGCTTCTCTCGCCATCATCCACGGGTGCATTGCCCTCGTTCTCGTTGCTCTTTCTGAAAGAAATTGCAAAAGGAAGCATATTCATTTGCTCAAGAGTTACGAAGCCTTTTACGAGCCTCATCGGATTTCAGGCTCTAAATTTTCTCATTGGACTCCTCGGGAAAACTTGTACTTGGCATAGAAATTGGAAAGAAAAACAGGCATCCAGAGAGATGTTTCAGAGCCAATTAACTCAATTAATTTAGATTAATTTATTTCAATCACAATTTTTAATTAATCACAATCACAAGTTTTAATTAGTTGCAGCCGGCAATTAGGAGTTCAGGAAGAAATCCAGCAGTGCTTCGCGGGCGCCCCAA